TCACACCAACCAACATCAATTTAATTGGAGCAACACAAAAATCATTGGCCACGCTACCACCCACCACACCCGTGAGTTCATCAAAGCCTGGCTCTGCATGAGCAATTCCATCAACAGACACATCGACCTACAACTGGCCTACAAACTCTTCAGAATCCAAATCAATCACACAGCCAACCAGACGTAGCACTGACCTTCAACCAACCATGCAAGCCCCCCGCCCCCAGCAGCCCTGACCTGATATAACCTCCCCATCACAAGTCCCATCACAAGATTCACTGATGACTCACACTTGACCCATCACAAGACCCATCACAAACCCTCACTTGACACACATACACCTATGAATAGAAGAACACTGACATTGACATCCCCTAAACTCTGCTGAAGATGTCACGGAGCCTGGTAATAAAGCATTCAGAAACCAACCCACAAGCTCAGATAACAAACCTTCACCCTCATCCTACATCCGAGCTACATATACTCACCACTGCTGCAAACCATATGGAACTGTTAATTACTATAATGCATGCCTATGGTAGTGTCAGTTTTCATTACATAAGAGCTTTGTAAATATGTAGTAATATTGGGAGGGTTTGGGACATATAGTTATCTCTAGTTATATATATTTCCAAAAACAATTCCAACTGCTGTTGTTAAAAAACTGATTCCTGTTAAATAGAATATATTTCATCACACTAAATAGTAATTATAAGATTGACCCATAGGTGACCAATCTGAGTGTTTGTCCCCAGTATCAAATCAAAAAGAGTGCAGACTCGATTTTGGCATTTGTGTATTGCTAGATGAGCTAAGATAAAAATGCTATTTGAAAGGTTATAGCCCTTAACTGGATTTAAGACCTACTGAATCCAACAGACTTAATTTTGAAAGAACATATAGAGCATTAAACTCTAAGTGTCTTGAATCCCTGAGGTTCTGTTTGAATATTACTACTAAAATTAATTTATTTTCAGTAATAAAAATTAATGTGTTTCAATATCCAACTGAAGTTTATTCTACAGTTGACATGGTGTTATACTGAACTGATATTACCAAGATCAAAGCACAAATATAACTAACTTTAAGGACAAGGTGGAAGAGACAAGATCAGAAAAAGGAAAGGAGGTGAAGTTGTCGTGTAGGAATACAAGCTAATTTGAGGGCTAATCCACATGGAGCTCCATTTCCATCTGTCCTGTTTGCCATCGTTTGCTCCCTAGAGACTAAAATGGAAGATCTGTAACTTGAGCTGGCCACGAACAAGGAGTGTATATCAGAGGTGGTGACCCTTTGAGAGCTGTATGCAACAAAATCTCATTTTGATGTATGCTGATTGGTGTACTTTCAAAGTGACAATAAAGTTATTATTATGGTTCTTCGCACAGTCAGCCAGATGTTCAGACTGGATTTTTTTATTATTACTATTATGGATCATCGCACAGTCAGCCAGATGTTCAGACTGGATTTGGCATTTTGTCTACCTATCGAATCCTTACCCAGGACCTGGGATAGGCAGATGTGGATGTTTGATGGTATTACAGGTATCGTCACAGGATGGAAGCAGTTCCTAGTAAGGCCGCCTTTTGCAATTGACTAATAGCAAATTTGTCAATGCCAATGGTGTTCAAGTGGTGCTCCAGTTGTTTTGGGATTCCACCCAAGGAGCCTATTACCATTGGTACTACCCTTGCTTGCTTTTGCCACAGTCTTTCTATTTCTATTTGTAGGTCTTTGTATTTTGTTATCTTCTCCAGTTCTTTCTCGTCTATTCTGCTGTCTACAGGCACTGCCACGTCCATTATCCAGACTTTTTTGTCTTTCTTATCGACAATTGTTAAGTCTGGGGTGTTATGTTGCAGGTGCTTGTCTGTTTGAATTCTGAAGTCCCAGAGCAGTTTCATTTTATCATTTTCTATGACTTTCTCTATTTTCTGATCCCACCAGTTTTTGCTTACAGGCAAATGATATTTTTTGCAGATCTTCCAATGCACCATTGTTGCTATTTTGTCATGCCGCTGCTTGTAGTCAGTCTGTGCAATCTTCTTGCAACAGCTTACCAGGTTGTCCACTGTTTCTTCAGCTTCTTTGCATAGGCAGCACTTACTGTCTGTTGCTGTATTCTCAATTTTGACTTTATATGCATTTGTCCTTAAGGCTTGGTCTTGTGCAGCCAGAATTAGTCCCTCGGTCTCTTTCTTCAATTTTCCTGCTCTTAGCCATTGCCAGGTTTTATTATTATCTGCTTTCCCAGCTATTTTTTTCATGTATTGGCCATGTAGTGCTTTGTCTTCCCATGCCTCTATTCTGTTCTTCATTTTGTCTTTCTTGTAGGACAGTTTGGTCTCTCCAGTAGTTAGTAAGCCTTCCTGATATACTAATTTCAGTGCATCTTCATCATTGTTCTTCAGATATTCTTCCAAAGCCATTTTTTCTTCTTCAACCATCTGATGTACTTGTAGCATTCCACGCCCACCTATTTGCCTTGGTAGATAAAGTCTGTCAATGTTACTGCGTGGATGAAGGGCATGATTCATTGTCATTATTTTTCTGGTCTTCCCATCAATTGCTTTTAGTTCTGCTTGAGTCCAGTCCACTATTCCAGCTGTGTACCTAATGACTGGAATTGCCCAGGTGTTGATTGCCTTTATGGTATTTCCTCCATTGAGTTTGGACTTTAAGATCTTCTTCACTCTCTTGATGTATTCACCTCTAATCTTTTTCTTGACTTCAGTGTGCTTGATGTTGTCAGCTTGAAGGATACCCAATTATTTGTAGTACTCTTCCTCATCCAGACTCTTAATGTTATTTTCGTGGGGCATCTTGATTCCTTCAGTTTTCACTACTTTTCCTTGTTTGATAGTAAGTGTGGCACATTTGTCCAAGCCAAACTCCATAACAATATCTTGGCTATATAGACGGACAGTGTTGAGCAGCGATTCTATTTCAGATGATGTTTTTCTATACAGCTTCAGATCATCCATGTAAAGGAGATGAGATAGTCTGGCAGATGTTTTTGATGTTTGATAGCCATGTCCTGAGTTATTCAGTATTGCTGACAGAGGAAACAGTGCAATAACAAATAGTAATGGTGATTGCACTGTTTTTTTATTATTATTATTACTACTACTATTATTATTATTATTATTATTATTATTCAATATTTTAAAAGCAATAACAGATCACCTTGAAAACAGAATATTTTTATTTACAAATAATTTTTTTGCCCCCAAGCAAGCTTACTGAAGTATTACTATTAATATTAATAAAAGAGTATTGAAAATTATATTTTTATTCTATTAATTAATAAAACTGTTCCTGTTTTGCAAGAAATGTTGTAATTTCAACAAGGTGAATGTGAATAAATACAATTCATCAGTTGTTCCTGATTCAGGAAAATTGTGTAAAGGATTAAAGAATATACTTGTCTGCACTGAATGTCTTAGGCCACCTACGCCAATGAAGCAATCACTTGCTGACTTTACTGGGAGAAGCATGGAAACCATTACTTGGGAATGGCTGCTTCACCAAGGAATAGAATTCTTTCTGTAACCCACTCACCAATTTTGTAAACCTAAGGAGAGCTGGGCCTGAATAGTCCTTGGATAAGAGGACACCATAGAACACAAAACATTTAGGTTTAATTGGATAGTAGGAAAGTCTTTCCAGGAAAAATGGCAACTGTTTCCATACCTTTGGTAAGAAAACTATATGAACATTTCCAGGAATCAAGATTCCTTTGGAAATGTCTTCTTTATTCCTGTAACACCAAAACAAGATTCCTTCCATGACCAATTACTTCCTCTCCTCTTTTCATCCCTGTCCAGCTATGTTCTTTCCTTTCTTTTTCCTTCCCTTCCCAGTGCAGTGCCTTCCACCCATCTCTAACCTGTTTTTCTTCCTTTCTTTTTGCTATTTGTAGTAGAAGAAGGAAAGGGAAAATATATTTCTGTGTTCACTACAGAGTAAATTATTGGTATTGATTTTAGAAATAGCAATAGCACTTAGACTTATATACTGCTTTGTGGTGCTTTACAGCCCTCTCTGAGTCAGCATATTGCCCCCCCCCCAACAATCTGGATCCTCATTTTACCTACCTTGGAAGGATGGGAGACTGGATCAACCTTGAGCTGGTCAGGATCAAACTCCTAGCAGTGAGCAGTGAGTTAGCCTGCAGTACTGCATTCTAACCTCTGCACCATCATGGCTCGTTGCAAAATGAGGTATCTTTTTTTAAATTTTGTCACCTTAGTTTTTGTGAAGCATGGCTTCTAGCAAATATATAATGCAGATATATATATACAAATATATGAGAAATATCCCCACATTTATTAAGGAAAGAGAAACCTGTAGAAATAGTTTAAAGCACACCTAACTGGGTGCATGCAATAAACTATCAACAACATGCAAGTTCAACCTAACAACTGTGGGTTGTACAAATGCACTTTTCCCACAAACCAATCACTATTCAAGCCTCAATATTCATTATTGTGTTCCATCTTTTATCTATGAAGCCCAGAACTAGCTGGGAAAAACTGGTATATACTCTTCAGCATTTTGTAGCAGAATCTTCATACACATCATAGTGTACATTTTTTCTATTGCACTTTGATTCCTACCAGATAGTATTGTCTTAAGCAGAAACAAAGCAAAATCTACAATCTCTCACCATTCAGTAAAGTTCTGTTTTTCTCCCTCAGTAGAAGAATTAATGTTAAATAAGTATAACATTGCAATGAGTACAACATTGCAACTGGCAATCACAATATTTTCCATTTGTCAAATATGTCTCTAACACAAAATCACTGAAAATATAATCTTCCTAAATATACATAATTCTACTCCACGGTGGCACATTTCAGACACAGTACCTTAAACGATGTCTCCCAGACATGCACAAACAGTCTTCAGACTAAATTAGGGTCTGCTATGTTTAGTCTTCAAACCACCAAAGATCAATTCAAACAACCAGAATCCATTCAATTTTGCTTTGGTCCTACCTTGGTTGAGATAAGTCAGAGTCTCTTCATGAAGTTTTATGGCAGGAGATGTCGCTGCACACAGCACATATTGAAATGGAGGGAGTTTTGTATCATTCTCGGGGGAAAGTTGAGGCTCTTCTTGTTTAAAGAATGGCAGTGCAAGCACATCACTGAAAAAATAAAATGAAATAAAACTTAGCAATGGGTTTGCTTTTTTTTTTAACTATACAACTACAATGGAGTTAAAGGCAGAATCCTCTGAATCCATACTACATGAGTATTTTTTCTGTGAACATATTCCTTTAATAAGTTAACCTATCAAAAACCAAAACAGTTATCAATTTCAATACATTTCAATACGACCAAGTTTATATGATGAAAACTGACATAATAAACTCAATATGATACACAAAGAAAAAGATACAAAAATATATGCTGTGATGATACTGTTTTTCAAGTAATCTTATTTAATGCAGTATCATATATTCTGTCACATTCATAGATGCAGATTGAACTACTTTTAAAGAAAGAGTCATGTTAGTCTCTAGGACCAGGAACAGCAAGGTGCTGTGTGTCATATTAAAATTTAAGAAGTTTGCCATTCCATATGTTTTTATGGACTCTAATCCACTTCATTGGATGTATTGAATCTAGTGCTGAAAAAAGAGTGGGGAAAAACAGAAAGATAATGTATGTACTCCAACTATTGATACTCCAACTATTGATGTGGATAAGGGGAGGTAGCCCCACAGGTTCTTTTTTCAAAAGTTAATGGACTTTGTTTTTCTTTGAAGACATTTTGCATCTCATCCAAGAATCTTCTTCGGTTCTTCTTCAGAACTGAAGAAGCTTCTTGGATAAAAAGCAAAAGAACTTCAAGGAAAAACGAAGTCCAGTTGCCTTTTTGAAAAAAGCACCTTTGGGACAACCATGACCTGGATGGATGAGAATCTCCATAGACAAAATGGGAGGTAGCAATACGAAAGAAAATATGAAATATATAATTGTTTTTTTGCCATAAACAAAATACCATTGAAATATTCCATGAGGAAGAAGAGAATTAAAGCATTCAAGCCAGATTATCTTTATAATAAAGATATGCAGATCATGTTAGAAAATAGTTCTTTTTAAAAATAAAAATAAAGGACTTGGTAAATAGGAGGCAGATTTTTCCAAATATATTTCAGTTTATGCAGTTGTTGTTGGTAAGACAAGACACTCCAAGACACTCCAACACTTCAGCACTGCAACCTCCTCATATCCAACCCCTCCCATCAAGAACAAGAAAACATCTTATCTCAGTCTATCCTCCCAGAAACTACCATTCCTAGAAACTATTTCCCAGGCTCAAAAGTGATTCAGTCACCCCCCTTTATTAAAAAAAACAAATTACAAAGACATGTGTGCATGTGTAATAGATTCCAGACATGAATCTCATACTCAGTTAATGGTACCTGAAAATATATAGCCTGGTAACTGCAGGAGAAATCTATCACCTGTTCATACTCTGGTGTACTCCAGAAAAGTTAGAACTACAGTCTTGCTCAACTTCTGGTGACTTCCCTGACCATTCATGTAGTTTTTTTTCAATAGTGGTATGGAAATGGTTGCCATGAAAACACCCCGTGCTTTCTTCCACGGAATGTTTTTTTCACCCTATGTTTACCTATGGGTATTTCCCAGTGTCTGCCATCCAAATATGAATCATATCTGCCCAGACTTAGCATTTCTAAGATAAAGTAAGGTATACTAGATGTGCCTCCACGTGGGGTATGTTGGGATTATAGCTCCAAATTTCCAGTCATGTGTCTTTTAAAGACCACTCTTCTTGATTATAGATAAGTTTATGTTTAGTATTTCCAAACAAGCTGGGCCACATTCTAAAACTGTTTAACTAGTCATAAGATCAGGAACATACATGCCAAAAGTTAAAAAGACTCAGTATATATAATGGAAAGTCCAGTTATATTTCAGGAAGATAAATGTAACATGAGGTTTTAGGAAATTAATATTTTACTGTATTAAAATTAATTATGGTGCATCCATAGATGGTTCTAGTCTATAAAATGAATGAACAAAGTATAAATTGAACAAAGTCTATAAAATGAATGAACAAAGCCTTTTTCTAAGCAGAAGCAATCAAAATATTTACTTATTTTCTAATGAATCAAATTCATTTAACTTAATGGGCTTAATTTTTTATTTTGGTTCTAAATATTCAAGAAATGAAACATTAGGTCAACTGTCTTCCACAAATATTTGTGTGCATATGAAAAAGACTACATTTTCTAGATGCCACCACATCTATAATTAGCAAGGCAATCCATCCACATCAATTGAAAATTAGAGCAAGAAGGTGTTTCTCTTGTACCTACACAGATTAATAATTCATTTTGCACCAGCAGGAAGATTTTAAAAAATGGTGAATCCATTATTCAAACTGTTTGATAATAAACATGATAAAAGTTCTTAACTGAAAGAGAATGTGATTGCATTTTATGGAGAAGTAAAGTTAAAAAGCATGTGAACTGCAAAGTTAAACATGAATATTTAGACAGCTTTTCTGATAACTGACAATAGCTTGACAATATTATTTCTTTATTTTATAGTTTCCTGAAATAATTGTTTCAAACATAGCAAAGTAATACATTTTAAATGCAATATAGAATTTAGGTTAGCAAGAATCTAAACCAGCAAAATATATTCTGTACATTTCCTCTCAGGTCCACTATATCCGAGGTCCCCAACCTTTTGGGACCAGGGACCGGTTCCATAGAGAGAGGTTTTTCCATGGACCGGAGTGCGTGGTTTTGTGTGCTGCCTGCATCTCGCGGATGGGGCTCCGCTTGTTTGTGTGGACTGGTTGCTGGCATGCTGTGGCCCGGTACTGGTCCACGGACTGGGGGTTGGGTACCCCGTACTATATAAAGACTTTACATCATCTCAACATAGAGAGCTACCATAATGATAATGATAGTCTTGTAAAAAGAGTGGTTGTTATGAGCACACAATCTCCTTCTTTTGCTAAATCAAAAAACCAGGGTGAAGTATTGGCTAAATGAGTATTCACCAATCTAGTGCCGTCCAAATATATTGAGTCTTGTGATATGGATGTTGTTTGTTTTAAAAGAATAATAAAAACAATTTCAAATAGATTTATAGCCTATGTACAGTTAGTCCTTGACTTACAGCCATTTATTTAGTAACTGTTCAAAGTTACAACAGCACTGAAAAAGTACCTTATGATAAGGTGACCAACCGTCCTCCTTTAGGGAGGACAGCCCTCCTTTTGTAAGTTCTGTCCTCCCTCAAAAAGTGTCCTCCTACATGTCCTCCTTTCGATATTTGAAGACTAAACTGCAGGGCCTTTTTTTTTTCTCATAGAACGCTCAGAACGACGTTCCGGCACCTTTTTTTGATGTTTTTTTTTTCAACTTTTGCATGAGCTGTGCTACTCCCCCTATTGGCTTTCGAAAGCCAATAGGAATTGCTGCTGAGTGCGCCAAAACACCCGGCCAGCAAACTTTGCATGTGCAAATTGTCTGCAGCGAAGGTGAATTGGCAGGAACTTAGCACCCCTCCAGTGCTACTCAATTACACCATCTCCTAGTTAGTTCCGAAGATACCTGGAGGAGACTGGAGCGGTACGTTTCTCTTGATCTTCGGCTCTGCTAGGGCAATAATGGCTGCGGGCACAAGAGGCAGGGTGACGGGGATGCTGCGGGTGGGGTGTGAGGGGTGGCAGTGGCCGGCTGCCCCCCGTGCTGTGGGAGCCGCAGGGCCCTTTCTACATGGGGCTGCGCAGGGTGGGCGGTGGTGGTGGCACAGCAGCTGCAGGTGAGGTGTGTTGATGGCGGGCTGCCCCCCAGGGCCAGAGCCAGCACAGCTGGTGCTTTGGGAGCTGCGGGGCCCGCTCTTCATGGCGGGGCAGCGGTGCTGGCGGGGGCGCGGCGGGCGGTTGACCTTCCATGGGCCGAGCCAGCTTTTACGATATTTTTTTCTTCAATTTATTTGTGTCCTCCTTTTCATTGTAAAAAAGTTGGTCACCTTACTTATGACCAGTTTTCACACTTATGACCAGTGCAGCATCCCTATGGTCATGTGATCAAAATTCAGGTGTTTGGCAACTGGCATATATTTATGACTGTTGCACTGTCCCAGGGTCATGTGATTACCACTTGTAACCTTCCTAACTGGCTTATGACAAGCAAAGTCAATGGGAGAAGCCAGATTCATTTAACAACTTCAATGATTCGCTTAACAACTGTGGCATAAAAGGTCATAAAATCACTTAACAACCATCTTGCTTAACCACAGAAAATTTGGACTGAGTTGTGGTCATAAGTCAAGGACTACCTGCATATATTCTCACAAGAAAGTCTACATTCAGTTCAGAACAGATTGAAGGATAAAGTAAATTGGAGATATGCTTAAATTAGAAAAATGTCATATTTTGGCATTCCAAGTTGCCCAAAACCATGTTCTCTCCTTTGGGGAAAAAAAGGGGGGGGGTTAGTTTTTGAACTCTCTAAAAAAAATTTTTTTAAGGAAAATAGTAGATGATATTTCCCTATTATCTGCTGATGTGCACATTGGAAAATCATTACCATGTCTTTAATACATTCCTCAATGTAACACTCATCGTTATATACCTTAGTGCTAAATTTATATGGCTGTTCCAGGGCTGGAAAACTTTCCAGATGGTGTGACCTCTCTCTCCCCCACCCCCAGCCATTTTATACAGCATATTTGCATTTCTTTTATGAAAAATCCCTTGCAGTAAACTATATCCATTGTTTTTGAAAGATTTAGATTTATAGGCTTGACCCATCCCAAGGGCTGGGCTGGTAGCAGAATTGCACAAGGTGATATCACATCGTTCTCCCTCCCAGAAGTCTTGCTGTTTTCAGTATTACAAAACTAGGTGAAAAAAAAAAGATGAGAAAAGGTAAATGAATACACAAGCCCTACCCCTTTCCAGAACCATCCCACACTCCAATTCTTACACTTCGGTTCTTCCCAGAAATCTAAATCTAGATGGGGGTCTCCACAGACTCAGGTTATCTCCCTCATACTCCAATTCCCACACATCCATCTATTTTACCTGATTCCCATGAGAATATGCTTAGTTCAATGCCAGTGGGAAAAGGCTAATTTTAAAACATCCAGT